CGTTTCCAGCTCAGAGGTTTTTATTTACACATATTAATTACCTGTGCTGTTACTCACTCTCACACCAGCAAGGAAATTGCAGATGTTGCTCTACTGTGCTGGGTAAATTGACCCCAGATCTGCTACCACCAAATTGGATGGAATGTTCAGAGGTGCAGCTGAATGAAGGAGGAATTTTCACGGAGACTCTGGCAGTGAAAATGATTTTAATTGTTGTGATTGATTGTTAGGATCCCTTTTCGGGGCCCTCAGACTGTTTCCAAGCCAGCTGCTGAGCGCACCATTCTTTGAAGGTTTAATAAGGCTCTCGATTTCAGCATTCTGTGTCTGAGTCTTAGTGGGAGTTCCTCGCAGCTCGAGTTGGAGGGAGTAGGAGAGATTCTATAGAACTAGTTTTGGTTGTCTTTGGGTGGGATTATGGGGAAGTCAGGGCTGGAGAGTGGGTGAGTATCCCCTTTTTCTTTTTAACCAACAATAAGCCAAACCAAATCCCCAATCTCTGAATGCCTGGTGGTTCCTGTGAGCTTCTCTTTGCTTAGATTTAACAATAATAGTGTGGTAACAGAAATCAGTGTGTTACAGGCTTCAGAATAAAATGGGTCCCAGCTCTCTTCCCTCCCCTGTCCGCATGAGTACATTTCTCTGGGCCCTTCTTCCTCCGAGATCTGAGGTATAGCCTCATCGAAGCTCTTGCTGAAACTGTGCATTTCTGCAAACTTTCAGTGTCAACTTTAGAAGGAAAAAGACAGTTGTTTTTATATTTTGTGTTAGTTTTACACAGGCCGGTTTTATGCTTTTGGAGAAGTTGGAAATCTTAGGGGAGCAATGGGACCTCAGTGAGACTGGACTCTGGGATGACAGTGTCTGAACAGGCTGTGTTTAGGAAGGGGTTTACCTTTTCTTTTGGCTCAGGGCTTTTTCCTTTCCTTTTTGGTGGATCTGAACATTTCATTTTGGAGCCAGCCATCCAAACACTGTGGGGAATGAAGAATGGTTGCTACCATCGCTTCCCGGATTTTTAGGGAACCAGTTTTCGGTGCCCCTTCCTTGCTCTACTGGGGCTTCTTTGCATGTCAGTTCCCTCACCTGCAAAGTGGGGTAGTAATAATAGCTCCTCTTAGGGCTGTTGGGAGGATTTTATGGCGCATTTAAAGCACTTGATCTAGCACCTGCTGCATGGAAAGATCTCAAAAAAAGTCCTCTTTTATTACTTTTGTTACTACTAATACACTATTGTATATATGCATAGTGTCCTGTTTATGCCAAGAGGATATGGAAGGACTCAGCAATAATTAAATAGTCCAAAGTCATGCCAGACCAAAAACCCAGCTTCCCAGGCCCTGGGAGTTTTCTGCTAGAGAAGCTTAAATGTCCTGACCAACCACAAATTAAAATCCAGTTGCCAAATACCTGTAGGTAGAAGGTAGTTGTTGAGGTGGAGTGGATTGGGGGATAGAATTAGAAGGTCTAGTTCCAGAACAGATCCCCTTCTATCAAGTTGTACAAATCA